GGGTAGTGAAGACGTTGTGTGATCTTGATACACCTTAGAAGTGAAAGAAACGAAGAAAGAAGATAAAAACTGCATAAATACTCCAACGGTGGTTGGTTTTTTTGGATTATAACCTCAATATAAAAGCAATATACAATGATATACGATTAAAGAGGTAGATCGTCTCTCCCAAACAATCTAGAAGCCGCTAGGAAGCCCTCACAGAAAAAGACTGCAATAAATTCAATCAAAACATTATCCTAATACAAAACAACTAGCTCTTACATAAGCTATTCATATTTCCCCCCAAAATAGTCTTATTGCCTTAATTAATTCCCTCATTTATTTTGAATTCAAATTAGCATTAAACAACAATTAATTTCCTTCCTTATTCCTTCTTCGTACATATAGAATCATAGTTTTGTTGGGCCCCAAGGGGGGGGGGGGGGGGGGGGGAGTGAATTGGGGGGGGGGGGGGGGTGCGGGCGGCAAATCTTCTCTGGTTTCCTTGGTCTCTCATCGTCCGCCCTTCCTGCTAGACCGGCCTTGCTACCATCAATACTCCACTCCTCAAAATGCACCTTATCCTCAAGGTGGAGGTGGAGGGATGGGAATTGTTTCCTGATCGTTTCATAGGGCTTCTATGTAGCTTCATAGGCAGGTAGATCCTTCCATCGAACAAGAACCTCCTTTGCTCTTGTTGTCCTTTGTCGTGCTCCCCTAATCTCCATAGGTTTCAGAATCACTTCCATGTCCTCAGTTAAAGTTGTCGGCAGTAAGGAAGCGGGTGTATGATCTGCGATAGTGCGCTTCAATTATAATACATGGAATACTAAATGGCTGGCCCGACACTAATGGGAGAGGTCCCCTCTTTAGGTTGATGGCGTGCTTGTGCTCTCGTGGTTGTGGTAAACCAACAGGTGGATGAAATGCATCCTGATAATGTTGTCATTTATTTTAATAAATTAAAAATAAAGTTATCATTTTAAAATTTTACTTTTCAACTACAAAACCAATTAAATGTGCCTTAAGCTAACAAATTTGTAAATTAGTCTATTTGAATTTGACAATACATTTATGATTGCTAAATAGTTGAAGAGGATTATCTAAAGCTACAAAAATTTGAGTTAAGAGAGACATTGTATTTTAATAAATTCAAGATCTTAGGTAGAAAGAGAACGATTGAAGGATGTTAGGATCTTCTTAGAGAGGAAGGAGTTCTTCTCTTAAGCTTCTTGAGAGAGGAGAGAGGGAAGATGAGAGGGAGAGATCAGAAAATCTGAAATGTATTTATGTATTTTGCTTTTGGCTTCAATGCCTTATTACAAGTTTTTGTTTCTATTTATAGACACTAAATGGTAGCTCAAAGGGATACACAAGATTCTAAACAAAGTAACATAAATGCTACAAAGAAAACTAACTAAAGAAAGTAGATAGGTAAATCTTGGACCAATCATAAGAAAGGATAAATTAAAAAAAAAGTATTTATATATGCTAACTTTTGAATACATATGCTTCGGATTGTGCGATCAACACAAAAAACTGTGATTGGCACTTCTCCCGTGAAAGCACAGTTTCACATCTCATGAAAGCACAATTTGCTCTCTTGAAAGTACAGAGAAAACCGTTTCAACAAAAAATGAAAAACCATTTTGCGATTTCTTTGAAAACCCGAAATATTTTGTGTTTTCTTAAAAATGAGTTGTTTTTTTTTTTGCTTTCTAATTCTTCCTATATTACGTTTATATGATGTTCCTCCTGCTTAATTAAATTAAGTCCTTCTCGTCTTTAAAATTCCACCTTCAACTTATCAATCAAATTTGATAACACCTCAGGGTTTTGCCTCTTAATGAATACAAACATTATTTTTTACTCCATAGTGGTTGTTCTGAAATTATGTAGAATCATAAATAAATTAGCTTTGTTTAAATTGCATTTTTTTTTATTGATTTATCAACTAACGTTGATTGTTGTCCCTATGTCTAAAAGTCCTTGTTATGACTTGAGTTAGATTACTAACTTTGATGTGGGATGTTTTATTTTACAAGGCTTTTACAATATATTATGTAATGCTTGTTTTGATATGGTCAACCAGTGTAAGAAATATATATAGTTTTATTGTTAAACAAGCTAATGATCTTTTAAGCAATTCTCTCTTGTTTTTTATGAAAATAAATGATAGTAGAATTCCAATTCAGGTAAATGAGTTTTGGTCTTCCATCAGAAATTGACCACCAGGAAGTTCATGAAGTTTACTCTAATGATTAATATCTCGTGCAAAAGAAAGGAAATTAGATTGCTAGAAATTTGATGAAATCTATTCACACTATCGGCCAGTAGTGAGAAATGTTTAGGAGGGAAGTGAGAGAAAAATGGAAGATATGAGAAGAAGTCACTGAAATGCAAGTTCTTCAAGGAGATAAATATCTCTCATAATCAATCAACTTTGGAAAATCACAATTTGCTGCAAAAGAGCCATTGAACTTGCTACAGTTTTGTTCAATTCAGAAGTGATGAAATGTTGATCCCTGCTTTTGTCCCATGAAAAAGCCTTAAAGGAAGCAGCTGCTGAAACAACCGCAATGGAATGCCACAAGAATAATGGCAAGAAGTACATAGCCGAAGAAGTCCGTTGCAGCTACAATCCCACAGCGAAGTTGTAGAAACAAAAGCCCATTAGGAAAATCCACCATATCATATTCTCATGTGGGCATTCTTTGGTCTGGACGTTTGAAAGTTATTATATTGCTCAATTTAGTCAAATTCCTAGAACCATAAGTTGAAGTATGGAATACCATAAAGTGTTAATTTATTATATTCTATGGAAGCTATACATTTATTGAGAGGTTTGATGGAGAAGTATAGAGAGAATAAGGAGGATCTACATGTGTTATTTATTGATTTAGAAAAAGCATATGATAAAGTTCCAAGAGAAGTGTTATGAAGAGTTTTAGAAAAGAAAGGGGTTGATAATGCTTATATTCAAGTCATTAAGGATATGTATGCTACAGCTGTTAGTTGTGTTCAAGCACAAGGTAGTTTGAACAAGTATTTTCTTATTTCAGTTGGATTACATAAAGGATTAGCCTTAAGCCCATATCTTTTTGCTTTAGTCATGGATGCTCTCACTAGATATTTACAAAGGTTGTATCTGATAGGAAATACTTGATTCCAAGTATTTCCTAATCACTTTAGCCCAAGATCTCACAGCAAACTGCTGTCCACAGCAGGAAATCAGCCAAAACAGTGGGAAAACACGAGAAAAACGATAAAAACACGAAGTAAGAACTTGTAATTTACTAGAAGATGAAAGGAAAATAGCAAAGATACAAGGATCCTCTATTCGAGAGGAGGATCGCACTCTCCCAATCTCTAGAATACGATCTAGAGCCCAACTCGACAAGAAGAACAAGAGAAACTACAAGACAAAAACACATAACCCTAAACCTCCTCATTACTCCCTACTTAATGCATACAATTCAAAATAGATACAAAAGGACCTAATTGACCTCACTTCCCCTCATTTTGGCTCCAAGAAACAACTTGAATTTCAAGTGGACCCCACCTCACGCCCTCCTGCGGTTTCCGCCTATTTCCGCCCGCTGTTCGCCCACCCTCTTCTCCGATAAAAATGAACCAGCCCGCTGGATTGGGCCGGCTGGACCGGTCTAACAGTATCCTGGTGTATGCTTTTTGCTAATGATATTCTTCTTGTTGATAAGACTAGAGAGGGTGTTGAAAGTAAACTTGAATTATGGAGGTCAAGCTTAGGTTTAAAGGTTTTCATTTGAGCATATCTAAAACCGAATATATGGAGTGTAATTTTAGTAGTAATAGATCTAGTGGGAGGATTATGACTTTGGGCGATCAAGTTATTAATAAGAGTGCACGTTTTACATATCTTGGGTCTTTTGTTCAAAGTGATGGTGAAATAGATGGGGATATTATTAGTAGAATTCAAGTTCGATGGTTGAAGTGGAGGAATGCATCGAGCTTGTTGTGTGATAGAAAAACCCCCCTTAAACTAAAGGAAAAATTCTATAAGACGATGGTGAGACCTGCAATGTTTTCTGGTGCATATTGTTGTCCATTAAAAGAGAAGCATAATATTTAAGTGTTGCAAAGATGAGGATGCTCAAGTGGATGAGTGGCTTTACTCTTAGAGACAGGATACAAAACGAGCATATACGTGAAAAGGTTGGAGTAGCTCCAGTGGAAGATAAGATTAGAGAGAGTCGCCTTAGATGGTTTGGTCACATAAAACGGCAGCCTTCTGATGACTTGGTTATGAGTGTAGATGTATTAGATTTGGCTTATGCTTAAAAAGGTAGGGGTAGACTTAAAAAAACTTGGTTAGAAAATATTAGTAATGACATTTCTTTATTAGATTTAAATGAGCTGACCCCACGTAGTGGGATAAAGACTTGATGTTATTGTTGTTGTTGTTATATTTGTCATCATCTTAATATTTCTCCATCCATCAAGTTTTATGTAGTTTTGTGGCAATATGATGGGTTGCTAGCCAAGTATTACTTTTTCCTAGAATTCTTCATGGTTTCAGTAGACTGCTTGTTGGCATCTTCATTATTTGATAAAATTTATGCGTTAACTGCATCTATCTATGTTGTTTTAACCTGTATAATATATATATATATATATAATAGAGTGAACGATGTTTACTTCAATTACTTGGTGAAGATATGTATGTCCAATACTTTGTTCTAACAAGTAATAATGAACTCTTTTCTTGTGACTGTCAAATCCGAATTGCTTGTCAAAACTTTTATGTTAAAAAAACGATTTCTGATGGATGTATATGATGTTTGGATCCAAAAAGAGTTGTTGTTTCTCATCAGTGATTTGTCCCTTTTTTTTTGGTTTCTTTCCAATGCTATGCTATTTTTATCAGAATGATATCTATAAGTTGCGATAAACTGTTTTCCCAGTGAAAAGAAATTACTCAAAATTTTCTTATATGTGAGGTACATTGTTTCTCAGTAGATTTAGTTTTGAGCTTGCAGGCTCTTGATATGATAAGAGGTAAGAACATCCTACTTTTGATGGATTCACATTTGGAGGGGAAATTTTCTACAGAAGAAGCTACTGCTTTGATGGACCTTGCTTCTCGTTGTTTGCAGTATGAACCAAGAGATCGCCCCAATACAAAAGATCTAGTTACTACACTTGCCCCCTTACAAACTAAAACCAGTGTAAGGCTACCTCTCTATGCTTTATATTCTCCATACTGTTGATTTTATTTGCTAATTTTATTTAATTAAACCTATCTAAAATACGCAGTATAGTCGGTATCGTTTACCACAATGGCACAGTTTAACCTAGAAATGATTCTATTCATGTGGAGGCGTACGTGCTATCTTTCAAGGGTTGTCATGTTAATGGGTTGTTTGCAGGTGGACACCTTCTTCACCACTATCAGTCCTTTTCTGGAATTTTTATTCTGTGCGGAGTCCGGACGTAATCCAGAGACCAACAAAAATGCACCACGTCACCCCAAAAGTTTATCGCGCTCGGTACCGAGCGTGGTACCAACGCTCGGTATCAAGCGATACCGGACGGTTCTCCCGTCTGATGTCCGCAGAGAGTAATCTCTTCCTTTTTTGGCAGACTTTTGGATGGGAAATTTAAGGGCTGTGAATATATGTAGATAGAAAGATAGAATTTCTTTGATATGTTTGGACATGGGCTTTGAAAATATAAATCTTCATCTCAAATAACATAACACAGCATTCCTTTTTATATATAAATAGATTATTAAGGCTTCGTTTTGGATGACTTTCTTGTTGCTTCTTAAAGCAATTTTTTAGTATAAAATTTTTATTTTTAAACTAAAAAACTGAATTTAGAAGCAATAAAAGAGTCGTCTCAAACAAAGCCTAAATCACATATCTTTTTGTGCTTTCCTAAATTACTATCTTGAATAATGCAACAAAATTTTTAAATACTTTAAGAGTTTTAGGCTTCAGTACTCGTAGTTCCTATGCTTAATAAATGGTCAAAAAAAGTTGCAGTTCAATAGCTTTTTGTTACTGTCTAACTCTTAAAACATGAAAAATGATAATTCTTCAACCGGTTAGGCTTTGCACACAAAGAAGTTCAGAGTGAAATCAAAGCTATTGGTTCTATCAAATGAACCACAGCCTATTAAATTTTGTTTTATTTGATTGATGTTGTGAGTTGGTATAAAGTTGAAATCATATTTTGTCAAAATGGTTCAATATATTAACTGTTATCGATATGCGGTATGAATGATCCCGGGTTTCCCCCTGTATCTTCTGTAATTTGAATGTCAACTTCAAGTACATTGAGTTTCTTCTGTATCAATAAAGAATTTCAAAATGCAGGTGCCTTCTCATGTGATGCTCGGAATTTCTAAACATGGAGAGACCCCTCCTACTCCACCGCACCCCCTTTCTGCCATGGGTGAAGCTTGCTCGAGGATGGATCTTACGGCCATCCATCAAATCTTAGTAATGACACACTACAGGGATGACGAAGGAACTAATGAGGTAATCACTTCTGTTTGAAAATGAAATATCATCTTACATGCAAGATGAATATTGAATGATTTAACCGAATACATCAATCCCCACCTTTCTTTTTGGAATCAGTTGTCATTCCAGGAATGGACACAACAAATGAGGGACATGCTTGATGCAAGAAAACGAGGAGACTTGGCATTCCGAGATAAAGATTTTAAGACTGCCATTGATTGTTACTCTCAGGTATGTCAACAATCAGTTGAATCCTCTTTTGGTTGGGAGATAGAGCACATTAGGGGTGTTAAAAATTGACACGATCGGAAACCCGATCCGGATCGGAAACCCAATACGGACCCGACATGGAAAAATCTGGGTTTGGGTCAACCCGTTTGTGAAACGGGTCGGGTTCGGGTTCGGATTTACGTTTCAAATGGGTTGGGCTTGGGTTGACTTGGAAACTCGCGGGTCGACCCGAATTGACCCGGTTATGCATCCGACATGCGACTGCACCCACTGGTCTCATTGCGGCACGTCGGCACCTGCGAGCTGCGGCCGGAAAAATACTTGGCTCAATGCCTCCGCCAGGCCGCCCCTGCTCGCCACCTCACCCGAAGGTCCGACCTGCAGGCTATAGTGGAAGCGGAAGTTGCATCCCGATGTCCCGTCGCCAAGGTAAGTATCGGCATATCACGGCCCTAGACACCATGAACTCCACGTAGGTGTCAGATCACCCGAAGGTTCGACCCGCATATCACGACGCCTAGGCCCTCATTCGCGTTCACACTTCGCCAGTCCATCATTGCTCCGCGTGTTCGCAAGTCGGGTCGGGTCAACCCGGTAACCCGCGCGGGTCGGGTCCAGGTTGGAAATCTTCACCCATTTATCCAAATGGGTCAGGTTCGGGTCAACCTATTTACGCGCAAATCAACAAGGATTGGACCCAAACCTGACCCATTGACCCAAATTGACACCCCTAGAGCACATGATATAGAAAACTATGAACTTTGCTACATTCTATTATATAATAGAATCTGATTAGAAATATTATAAATTTTCTGGATCATCTGTATATAATTTATTTCCTGCAAAGTAGGCTGTTATACTGAAGACAACCTGGAGGTAATTCTCTTGTACATTGTTATGTTGATTCAGTTCTTAGACGTGGGAACGATGGTCTCACCGACCGTATACGCTCGGCGGAGCCTTTGCCATCTCCTCTGTGATCAACCTGATGCTGCTCTTCGGGATGCCATGCAAGCACAGTGCATATATCCAGAATGGCCTACAGCATTCTACATGCAGGCTGTAGCGTTAGCTAAGCTGAACATGAACAGTGACTCTGCTGATATGTTAAATGAAGCAGCTGGGCTTGAAAAGAAGAGACAAAATGGTGGGAGAGGTACTTGAACTGTCTTAACTGTTTATTCAGGTGTGATATTTTGTGATTACTAGGGGTTTTTTTGTTATAAAATGTGATGTAGAGGAAGCTCTTGGATTACATTAATGGGTTTCTTTTACTCATTAATGGTGGTTCTAATTCTTTACTTTGATGTATATGAACAGAGGATCAAAACAGACATTTTGAACTTTTCAAAAGATCTCATTTTTTGCTTAGATAGTGCTGATGTGCTTTTGTGAAGATCTCCCAATTATAAGGTTTGAAGGATTATTGGTGTAATTCTAAATTTTCAGTTTTCAGCTCATATTTATTTTTAATTACATTCAACTAAAAAATTTAGCAAGTTTCATTAATAACTATCATATTGTTATTTCATCTCATATTGGTGAAAATCAGTAGGATTTGTGCCTGATAATCTTATCACTAAAGTAATGAATTTCTTTTTTTAGTTGAATTTAATATTTATGTTTTGTTTGGGATGATTTTCTTATTGTTTATTAAAATAGATTTTTAGTATAAATTTTTAATTTTTTTACTATTTTTTTTTTAAAAAGTAGTAAGAAAACTTGTCTATATTTTAAAATGGTTTTCTAATATAAAAATTAAGTTTTAAATTTTAAAATAAAATATTTTTTAATATAAAAAATAAAATTTTAATATTTAAAATTATTTTAAGAAGCAGTCTAAGATGAAGCTTAAATTAACTTAAAATCTCATAAAAATTTTATAATGATCAAGAAGAACTAGGCTTTCATTTTAGAGTGCTTAAAAATTTTCATATAAATGGATTAATATTAAAAAAAATAAAATGATGATATAATTCAAAGTAAAATTTTATATTTTATTGTGATAGATAAATTGAAAATTATTACAAACTAAAATAGGATACTAAATAGGAAAATGGGGTTGTCAAATGTCAAACTTTAGTTTTACTGGCTTTCTGAAGATCAGAACTCAGATTGCAAGTGATTGGAGCCTTGGAGTTGGACAAGGATTGCAGATGTTGGGGAATGATCAAACAAGGTTTGCGGTTGCTGCTCTAATCGTTCGAACTCAAAAATATTTCCTCTGTTGGAGTTGGACACGACTAACAGGCTCTAGTGAACGTTTGTTGTTGTGGGCCGGAAAATTTCTATCGTTTTGCAGTCTTTTTTTTTTTTTTTTCCTTTGCTAGTCAAATCAGGATTATGTGTGGGGAAATAACTAAAATACCCTTTAATTATTTTATTAAAAGCCCAAATTGAGAAATTATTTTGTGCGGACGTCGAACGCCATCTTGAGACCAACCAAAATGCGTCACATCACCCTTTGCTTAATACTCGGCTTGATAATGTTCGATACTACTGATGTGGTGCATTCTGGATAATTTCTCCACATAAGCCCTTTGATCAAGGAATATTGACTAGCTGGTGCCTGTTTCTAGTCACGACTCCACTAAAGTTCCCCTCCCATGTCATTGGATCCTCCTTCGATCTTCCGTAATCGCACATGTCCGCCAGCCTCGTGCAAATCGTTTATGCTTTTTCTCCGGCGATCTTACGGCCGGCACATACCATGCATATATACCAGAGATCGATCAAACATGTTACAATAATAAAACTCCATATTAATCTATACATCCCTAAACTAATCCAAAGATGAAAGTTTTGGCGTTGGCTTTGCTTTTCTTGCCAGGCTTGGCCACGTTGCTCCGTCAATTCGGACCGCCGTCGCCGTCGCCATCGTCGCTGGCGGAAAAAGGAGAAGCTGAAGATTCATGCGGAGCCGTGAGCTCAATCATAACCCGTCCAATGTTCGAGGAAATGCTTAAGCACCGCGGCGATCTCCGCTGCCCAGGAAGCTTCTACACCTACGAAGCCTTTATCGCCGCGGCAGAGGCCTTCCCCGGGTTCGGAACCACCGGCCTCCCCGCCACCTGCCGCCGGGAGCTTGCCGCCTTCTTCGGCCAGACTTCTCATGAAACCAGAGGTACTACTACTAACGCGCGTGTGCCGTACATAATTCAATTTCACATTTTTCATGTTTTTATTAATTTTATTATAACAATCCCAAAAAATTAAAAGTTATTAATATTATTATAACCAATTTTATAAATATCTAATTTATAAAAAAAATTAATATGAAAACTCAAAAAGCGATAATTAATTTCAAACTCAATAAATAACCTATTAAAAAATTTACATTAATACATATTCAAAATATTTTCCTTATTATTAAAAATAAATTAGTCAAATATTTACAATTTTTTTTTTTATAACGGGTGTATCTACCTGTTGCCTCTCCCATACTAGCATGGGCGGATCCCCATATAAGTGAGAGGGGGCAAATGCCCACCCTCAAATTTTTTTTTTAATTTTAGAGGGTATTTTTTGGAATATTTTGGGTATTTTGGGCATTTTGCCCCCTCTTAAAAATTTTTTTTGCCATAATTTTATCAATCCTAAT